AATAAGGGCCTACTCCGGATCCTAGCTCACCAACCAATCCTGCCGTCAAACACCTTCGAAGAGAAGTGATCGGGTACCCGGTCGCGGCTTCCGAATTGAAAGCTTGGGGACACGAAACACTAAAGCCCGAAGTCTACTACTGCGGATTCTTTAGGTCCCAGAGAGCCCAATACCCCATAAATAAGGGATATACCTCAATGTTAGGGGCCTGAATATTATGATTTTAAGGTATATATCCGTCAATTAAGGGGGTATCGGGCTCTCTGGGATCTCACAGACCTCAACAGCGGCCCTCCCCTTCCCTAAACCCTAAACCCTAAACCCTAAACCCTAAACCCTAAACCCTAAACCCTAAATTCCTTGGGGCCCCAGCCATTGGCGTCGAGGGCCCCTCCGCCTCCCGGCCCTGCGGGCTTTCGGGAGAGCCTCAGATCGGACCCAGGCCCTCTGCCTCTCTCGAGGGTTTAGGATTCAGGGTTTAGGGTTTAGGGTTTAGGGCGGTCTCGAAGACCTCTGAGGGCTCGACGCTCCCCCCATGGCCCGCTCACCTGAAAGGCACACGTCTAAGGCTTGCAGCGTCTGTATCGTTCCACGCATTCAAACAGAGCTGGCCATAGGTTATAGGCAGGTTATAGTTATAGTTATAGTTTTAAATGTAGCGACCACAACTAAAACCTGGTTCAGCACAGTTGCTTCGTTGCGGCCGCCCCGACCCACTGTTGGGCAGGGCAGCTAAGCCACTGCAGAGCCGTGAACGAGGATGCGGCAGGCGAAACGGCACAAGATCCAAGGCGGAGAATAAATGCGCACTGGGAGTTTGTGTTTTTAGTAGCTTCGGCGCGACATCATATGGGCTTTTCCATCAGCCTCAGCTCAGGGTGGCTGTACCGGTCTTGCTTGAGTTGACATCACAGAGGCATACTCAGGCACTTGTCATCCAATGCACCAAGGAACTTTTTCACTCGCAGAGTCACATGGTATGCTGTTGCTTGAAGAAAAGGCCTTGCCAGATCTGCAAACCTGGAGCCCTGCCGGCCATAGCTTCAGAAGACGGTGTTCAGGCATGCTAAAGCTTTCTACACGTAGGCAGTGGAGTCTCTTGATTGCACACTTAAGCCAGGTGTCGAAGCTGATGACCGCTTGCACAGGACCTCGGACCATGAGACTTTGCTCATGGGAGCTGGGCCCCGCTTTGCATCCAGAGGGGCTGGGACTGCATTCGCATGATCTCGCCCATTCCGGCTGCTAAATTCGGAAGCATGACCCGCTAAACGAAGTGAAGGCTCAACCACACCTGGCGATTGTGAACACATGCGGCCCCGCGAAAGCCACATAGCAACGCGAAATGGGCATGAGATTGATGCCCTGCTGGCATCGTTGAGGTCCTTGTGCCTCATCCAAGCCCCCGCTACCTGGAAGTTTCAGAAGAGAGAGATCTTACATAGTAAGATCCTTGTTACAAGGACTCTATTCGATAGTGCGTCCTGCCTTCTGAAACCCCCATCTATGCCCGGTGCATCCTGCGTTAATCCCGCGGCCTGCCACCTCACACGTTGCTGGCAAGGATTGGACTTTACGGATGAGGGGTCTTGGACACTCTTCAGGATTTAAGGTTTCTTGCGAAGAGGGTAGTTCTCTAAACTAGGATCCTTTTTAGGTCCCAATGTAGTACGGCACCCTTATAAAAAGGGCCCTGAAAGGGACCCTAATTTAGAGAACTACCCAAGAGTTGATAGGGATTTCCGAGGAGGTCCAAGAGTGGGCATGTCAGCGCTGCAGTCTCTTTTTGCATCCTCGCAGACTCTGGTGAACGCTGAACATGGCCTTTGCGCCATGGAATGGCATGCCATAAACTGGTAGTTGGTTGGAAGGTAATCCCAATATACAACACCATCCTTGTCACAAGGACCCTACATACGGGGCCCAGCCCCTAGGGTCTTAAGAAAGCCCCATCTCGGCCCACAGGCCTCGGCCCGCCAAAAAATTGGGGCTGCAGCAGGTGTTCGAACTCCTCAAAACCCCCAGACACCCAGCGCACTAAAGCCACCGAGACTTGGGTAAGGAATTCAGTAGCACTGGTAGGGCCCGAATCAATGCGTCAACGGATGTTGCCCAGGGAGCCATTGGCTCAGCAAACAGCTCGCCAAGTCTTCCAGCTTGGCAGGTTCCATGTGCTCGCGGGCCTCCACCAGGAAGGGAAACAGAAGAGTGACAGGAACCAATCGCGCTTTTCAGTTTCAAGAAGACTATGACCAGGATTGTTCGAGTTCATGGCTCTATTCTAGGCTCCATAAGGCTCCGGGGCTCGAGGACTCGGATTAAGGCCCAGGTTGCTGCCCGCTCCGGGCCTCAGGGTTCACGAGGTCGGTTCCTGCGAAGCCACGAGGTCCGGGGCGTGGGTCGGAGATGTCGCTGGCCAGAGCGGGCGAAACAAGCGCCATGTCCGGGGCCTCAGATAGCAACCTGAAGTGCCTCGGGTGAAGGACGGTCAAGGTTCGATCACGTCATGCAGAATAGCCAAATCATCCCAAGTGGCAGCTGCATCGCCGTCCGTGGCTTCTTCGGACATCTCCACTTTCAGCGCCCGCGAGCACGCTGAGGCTCCGCGGGAACTCCACAGGCTCTCACAGGCCCAATGCCGGGGCGCGGTGCACCGGAGATGCTTTCAACCAGCTTCCGGCCTTTGAAGCGTCTGTGTGAACCTCAGTGCTCCATCCGACGCTTCGCGGCGCAGAAGAGAGGACGACGCAGCAGCCCGCTGAAAGAGAACCCGCAGTTCGCCCAAGGTGCAGAAAGCCCTGGCGGGCAAAGCTGTCTCTGGCCACGTGGAGCGGGCTCAGGTCCTGAAGTTTCCAACCACTTTTGGGGCTTTCAATAAGACTTTCCACGGCATGTGGTCCTCGTCAGATGGGACTGTCAGCTCCGCCAACGCTTCGAACGGCTTGTCGGAAGCAGCGAGAATAGAATCCAGCACCTGCAGGCATGCGAACAAAGGCGCACGCTGCGAAGCATACTGCGGCGCTCATGCAAAACGCTCAAACATCCATGCATTCGTGCATTCGTGCGTACACGCGTACGCACAGACGTGCACATGCTTTCGTGCTACATACCTGCCTACCTACCTTAGTGTGTGCGTGTGTACCTATGCATGCACATTTTTACATACACACACAAGTACATGCAAAACATAACATGACATGACATAACGTAGCAGAGCATAGCATAAGACAGCATAGCGAAACATGACATGATGCAACAAAACATGGGACACTATGACCTCACATCACATACGCTGATGCATGCATGCATGCATACATGCATGCATGCATGCATGCATGCATGCATGGATGCCTAAGTTCATGTACGTACACATGAACGTGTACTTACACATGTACATACATACGTACATATATATATATATATGCATATATATATATATATATATATACATATCTTATCTTATATTATATATATGTATAGATATATAGATATTATATATATATAAATAGATATAGATATAGATATATAGATATTATATATATATATATATATATATACGTATGTACGTACTGCTGGCAGCAACTTAACAGTAGCTTGACCTCTCACACTGGGGCCTCCTCCATCTGCGGCCATGTCTCCCGAAAGAAGTCCTCACAGCGTGGAGGCATCCGATAAGCTCGTTCTAGTTCTTTCCGAATGCTGACTAAGGCTTAGTGACTAAGGGCTCTTTTCGAGTGGATTTTGGAAGGCTCCAGCAGAAAAAACCGCACTCAAGGCCGCATTTTCCACGTCTCGATCGGCCTCAAATCGGTTTAAGGCAGCTCTTTGGGCAATGCTCTGCCAGGGCATCCTCGGATGTGAGACTTTGGCAGCCACAGGTGACCGGGCAGAGGTAGGCGAGAGGGCCAAACAACTCGGCCATTCCCTCGCAGAGGTTCTCTCCTGTTAGTTCATCGATCGGGTTCGCTTTCAGCGTTGGGCAGCCGCCCGCTTTGACTGATGCGATTTTTTCAAGGTCTTGTTTGTCGTACGGCATTCGGTTCGGCCCGAAGAACTCGGCAAAGACATCGTCCAAGTTGTCCCAGAAATGATTCCAGCCGTCTTCTGCACCCGCTTGAGGAAAGTCTTCGCACGGCAGATCCTTAATCTGCTTTGTCCGTTCCTCGAGACACCTCCCAGCACAGCCCTCCGCCTGGACTTTGTACCATGGAGACGACATCGCATCTGTGCATCCACATGTCTGGCCGCACATAAGCCGCAGCATTCGTGCCTCCGGAAGATAGCACGACTCTTTCAGCTCCTTGCAGGTGGTGGCCTTACTGTTAACATCGAAAGCTGCGGCTTGCATGCGGCCGCGCGCAATGGCACTCAAGCTGGATATGGAGGCGTCTGACTTGTCGTCTGGATTGATGTCTTTCTCCCAACATACCGGGAAGTAGTCCGCCTCCTCAGACATTTTCCGGATGCGACCAAACTCGAACTGCTGAGTTTCCAGACTAAGCTGCATGTATTTTGGCGCCGGCGGGTCGGCTCCGCTCTTTGGGTTCCAGGGATTCTTCATTTTGAACTTGTAGCTTTCGACGGCCAACTCGGCCAAGGTATCGTGTGCGCTGCCGGCGCCACGAGACATGAGCCCGTATGTCATGCCGACATCGGAGTTGTAAGCCACCACGAAGTTCTGGATGCCAAAGCACATCTCCCTCTTCACCTCCAGCATGTGATGGCTCAAGGGGACCACCAGCACAGCATAGGGAATCAAGAGAATCAAGACCAGGGCCAGGAAATGAAAGCCAGACTCCACTTGGCTCCTTTGGGGCGTGTAGCGAAGAGGTATCGGCTCTAGACCTCGGAGTGCCAGCTGAATCTTCGTAGGCATCACTGCCTTGAAAACGAAGTCATCGATGTCCAGAATGGCATTCAGGGCCACGGCATTCAGCATCAGGTCGGCGATGGAAGTGGTGCCCCCCAGCCACTGCAAGCCGGCCACCAGAAGCGCGATCGCGAGCACTGCGCGCAGTAGCGAAGACGCGACCAGGAGTCTAAACCGGTTTTCAGAAAAGCTCAGGAAGGTTCCCTTGCGCAACTCTGTGCGCTCCGCTCGCGGCACCTGCAGCACGGCCTGCAGGTGCAGCCAGACGTCGCGGAGCTCGATGAAGACACATAGGCTCCATAGAGCCATGCACAACATGCAAAGTGTCACGCCTGGTTGCTCCAGGGTGGCCTCGAAGGCGGTCTTCTGCAATCCTAGGTAGTTGTTTATGTCGGACAACAACTTTGCCTGCGAGGAGGCGTGGATGAGGGAGCTGTCTTCATCGCAAACGCGAGTCACGAGACTCGTCTCCGCTAAGTCCACGTACTGGTAGGAGTGAGCGATCTTATTCCGCCAGACGCGAGTGTTGTCCACGTTGCTCTCGAAGGGATCGCCGAGGAAGCTGTGGCCGAAGAGAATTCCGATGAAGGTGCCCTGCATCATGATGTTCCCAAGGTAAAGCAGCAAGGAAAAGGAAACATCCCACATCGTAGCATCTGTCAGCCCCACCACCGCCAAGATGTTCCAAGCGTTTTCGCCCATCTGAACTGGCAGCTCCTCCTCGCCTCCCAGAAGCGGCTCGCTGGGAACGTCCTGCCGATTCTTGCTATTCATCTCAGCTTCAAACTACCAGAGTAGGGATAATTATGGATAGATCCCCATTACATCTTCCTCGGTTACCTTTCCCTTGGTTCCGCAACTTCTCAAAGCAGCGTTTATGGTCGTCCTCCGTCTTGACACCCTCCAGGGCCGCGACGCGCGCGCCGAGGCTGCGGAGCTCGTCCTTCAGCGCTGCGTTCTCCTTCTGCAGCTCTCTAAAGGCCTGGAAGTCGACAAAAGTTCGGCGGGAGCTGTTTGGGGCTTTCAGGGCCTTTAGGGATTGTTGGAGATTTCTTTCGGGCGTAGAGTGTAGGGCTCATCATAAGGCTTCAGTTTTTGTTGGACGTTCAGGGTTCAGCAAACCCACACCTTAAGAACCCAAAACCCACTTTTTTGTAGGTTCTTATTATAAACCCTAATATGGGATTTATAGGGACCCTACAAAAAAGTAGGTTTTGGGTTCTTAAGGCAGGGAGCCTCCAAGAGGGGCACCCTCTCGGCCAGCTCCACGTCCATCTTTGAGTCTCGGGCAGTCGAGGCCGTCATGGCGGCAGGAATCTTAAACTAAATGACGTACCAGGGTTTTCGAAGGCTGCTACAGGGGTCTGATAATGGCGTCTCTTTGGAGCGCCGCAACGGAAGGTAAGCCAGCAGCTCATCGGAAAAGAAGTTGCGAGCTTGGAAAGGAACGGGGATGGACTGCAGAGCACATTGCAGCAAAGACTCGGGCCACACCCCCGGCTCACGCCAGGCCCCTCGCCGAGGGTTGCACGCAGAGCTCTGGATGATCAGGAGGCCTGTCAGGTGCCAGGAATTTGAGCGTTGCGACCCTTCGCTCTCCGTCTGCCTGGTCCATCGCCCCTGACGTTGCGATAGGCAGCCGCAAGCGCCCGCCGGAACCTGCAAGACACTCTGTGGCCGACACCAGGGTTCCAGCGTTGCTGGGCTGCTATTAAGGGAGCGAAACTAAGTTACTATACTATACCTTAAGAACCCTAATATGGGATTTATAGGGACCCTACAAAAAGTAGGTTTTGGGTTCTTAAGGTAATGAGGAAACCCCAAACTGTTTACTTTCTGCCCCGATTATGATAACTTGAATTGAGTTCCTTAACAGCAACCCAGGTTGCGTTTGCTGCCTACGGAACTCTGCGGCGAAGGTGCTCAGGTAGGGTGCTACAAGTAGTCCAGCCCCGAGGCTGCGGCCCTGGCTTGGTTTGTTTACGGGGCTTTATGGGGCTTCACTATGGGTTTCGTAGGGTGCTACAGGATCAATACCAGACTAAAACATTTATTGCAAGAGCACTAAGATACGGTTTACCTCAAGTTTTTTATATATGTATATTTGTAAAATAAAAACATATATACATACATACATCGGTATAGATGTTCATTTAGTTAGTTAGCTAGCTAGTTAGTTAGTGAGTGAGTGAGTGAGTGTGTTAGCGAGTGAGTGAGTGAGTGAGTGAGTGAGTGAGTGAGTGAGTGAGTGAGTTAGTTAGTGAGCGAGTGAGTTGGTCAGTGAGTGAGTGAGTTAGTGAGTTAGTGAGTGAGTGAGTTAGTTAGTGAGTGAGTGAGTGAGTGAGTGAGTGAGTGAGTTAGTGATGAGTGAGTTAGTGAGTGAGTGAGTGACTGAGTTAGCTAGTTAGCCTGCTAGCTAGTTAGTTAGGATATAGGGTATAGGCTTTGCGGCCAAGCTCGAAACTGGCGCTCGAGACGAGGAGCAACTCCACCTTGCTCTTCTTGGACAGCTCCTCTTCGGTTGCTCGGCTGCTGTGCCCCAGCACTTCGAATAAAGGAGACTCAGGTTCAAAGTTTGAGTTTGTTGGGGTTCAGGACGATTAGTATTATGATTCTGAGAATTGTCACTATCATAACTGTTATCAATGTTATTATTACTACTACGATTACTACCATCATCATCATCACCAGCATCATCACTATTATTGTTTTTTATTTTTACTGCATTATTTGTTTAATTGCTTCGCAGGTCCGAAACTTCGTCGCACTCTGTCATGTTCACTTGCAACAAACCTGTCCAAGACCCCTTTCCCCCGTAGACTCCTCCAGAAGTCCTCCGCCCGGAATAATTATAGTACTATACTTTCATTCCGGGATGATAAATCCTCCGCTAGCCAGGTTAGGGTTATTCCTCACCCCTGTGCTCCGCGTACTCCGTCTAGTGTCTCTAGCGGATGATGCCACGAAAATTTATTACCGGGCATGCACTACTATCATTACTGCTACTATTATTATTATTATTTTAATCTTTTATTATTATTGTTATTATTAATTATTATTATTGTTATTATTATTATTATTGTTATTATTATTAGTAGTATTATTTTTTTATTCTTATTCTTATTCTTATTCTTATTATTATTATTACAATTATTGTTATTATTATTATTATTACGGGATCAGGGTTTGATTGGAGTCCTTGATGCGCATGATTTGTTGGCCGCCAGAAGTCTGGAAGCGCAGGCGCCTTGCCAAGCAGAGCGAGATCCCGAACCGAGAGCCCGATACCCTGCTGCTACGGAAGCCTACCTTAAGATCCCAAAGCCCACTTTTTTGTAGGTTCTTATTATAAACCCTAATATGGGATTTATAGGGACCCTACGAAAAAGTAGGTTTTGGGGTTCTTAAGGTAAACCAGAATGCATAACTCTAAGGGCTTTAGGAGGGACCCCTAATAGGGACCCTTAATCCCATGACCTTAAATAACCATTGTACAGTCCTCATATACCCCTTAGATAGCCAGGTAGTCTTCATATTAACCCCAATAACCTACAAGGGTCCCTGTCAAGGGTCCCTCCAAAGCCCTTAGAATAACCGTTTAAGCTCTTGCCATCTCTTCTGAACCAAACATGCTTTAGCTTGAACCTTACACAACATCTGTACACATCCTCTGCCCCCTCATCACTTTGGGGCCTCCTCCGACTCTTAAGCCCACCCTTCCTCCAAGAAGGCCCTTGTGGCTTTTTGCCGCTGGGCGGCTTCTCGCGCCGTAGCCACGCGGCCAGTTGGCCGATGTCCTGCATCGCCAGGCCTCGGCTTAGGGCGGCTTATAAGGGATCTTACAAAGGGGGGGGTTTAGGGGTTTAGGGGCTTAGGGTTTAGGGGTCTAGGGCTTTAGGGTTTAGGGTTTAGGGTTTAGGGTTTAGGGTGGATCTTACAAGGGGGGGTCCTATGTACATAGGCTCCCACAGCGTTTGTATGTGAAGGGCTCCAGAAGAGTTATTGTCAAGGGTCCTACAAAGGATTCTACCGAGTTCTGCAAGGGATTTCTGAAGATTCTGCACGTGGGCTAATATGTAGGAATAATCCGTTCAGGATTTTACAAAGAAGCTACAAGAATTGCGAAAGGACTTTATACGGGATCTACGAGGACTCTACAAGGGTTCCAACAGGGTGTTGGGGGATTGTGGCCTCGGGGTCTCAATGTGTACTGTGCTTCATTTCTACACCTCCATACATAGGCGGCAGTCCGACATCCAACGCCTACACCTGACCAAGACAGTCTCAAAAACCACACCACTTTAACCCCAAAGCCTTGTATAAACCCGTATAGGAGCCCTTTCAGCAATCCGTGCAGGAACCCCAAACCCCGCAAACACATGCAGATGCCTCCAGTACACCACTGTGTCGCCGAGCAGCATCCCAGGATGCGTTGCCAAACGGCTTGCCCCACCTTCGTAGACGTTTCGTGGTGGAGGGGGGGAGGCTTAAGTGGCTGAAGGAAAGCAACCAGTACTGCACAGAATTCCGAAAAGAGCCCTTATAGAGTCCTCAAAGAACCCCCTTTGGGAATCCTTTTCCAATCCGAAGAGCTGGAATGTGCCACTTCCAAGCTTCAATTCAGAGTGCCCTAGCAGAAGGGAAACTTCAGCACCATCTCAGAGAGGGCCGTATTTTTGGAAGCCTAAACCTCAAGGATTTTGGAGTGCCTGGAGCTACAGATACCCAGAGAGCCCAATACCCCTTAATTAAGCAATATACCTTAAACTATAAGGGGCTTCATATTGTGAGTTAAAGTATATTCCTTAATCAAGGGGTCTTGGGCTCTCTGGGTAGGCCCTCTTGAACCCCATCATCTTACCTTTCACAGCCTCAATCAAGGGCTCACGTGGCCTCCTGGCTGCTCTTTGCCTTCTCCACGACCTTTGCCCATTCGTCCGCATCTGTGACCTGCAGCTTGGACACGAAACTTCCCCAGCATCGGAAACGGTCGGGTTTTGGGTTTAGGGTTTAGGGTTTAGGGTTTAGGGTTTAGGGTTTAGGGTTTAGGGTTTAGGAACGGCGCGCCATTTCCGCCAGGTGTCGGAAAACGGCGCCGGCTCCCCGAAGCTGGGGCCAGGCCTCCACAGGCCACGGGCATCTCAAGGCTTCAAGCATCCCCGGGGGCCTGGGCCTTTGGCTTCTAAAGGGTCATGGGACTTAGTAACTAAGGTTCAGGGTTTAGGGTTTAGGGTTTAGGGTTTAGGGTTTAGGGTACTTAAAGGGTCATGGGACTTAGTAACTAAGGTTATTATTGGGGTAACTGTACTTAAAACTACTTATAACCCCAATTAGGGTACTTATAACCATACTTACTAAGTCCTATGATCCTCCAAGCCGAGTCACTGGTCCCCAGGAAATCGGATCGGCTGCGTCCAGCCGAGGTCAGGGCCATCAAGGCTCAGCAGCTTCAGCAACATTGCCTGCATGGCCTGGCGTGGCTTGGGCTGCAGGTGCCCCCCCCACAGAACCCGTCGCTTTGGCACTGCAGATCGCTTGCAGGGCCGAGTTGCATCACCCAGTCCTTGAGATGCCGACGCCTGATCTCGTGCACCTGCTCCGAAACCGAACAGCACCGCACTGCAGCCCCAAACTTCAGCCCCACATCCCATCCGTGACGGCCCTGAACATACCACGCTCGCCTAGGCGGCGGCTCAGGGATCGAGCCTGAGCAAGGCCGCAAGAGAAGCTTGAAGGTACTCTGAACGTTAGTTCCCAAGAGCTTGGAGGGGTTTAGGGTCTCAAACCCTTCTCCAAGATCATCAACCGGCACTCTGAGCCCTGACGCTTCGCGATTGGCAAGCCCTCTACCTGCCTGTGGGTGTAAGGCAGCAGCTTCCGCGCGCACCAACATATCCCTGGGCATTCAGGGTCCCGGAGACCCCAATCCCCGGTCTGAGAAGGCAACAGGTCTCCAAAGTCTGCAAGGCGTCTTCGGAGTGACGGATTCTGCGGAATTTTAACCTCTCCGTTTGGATGCACTGCAGTTGTCGATGGATTCAACAGAAACCAACTCAAAGCTTCGTTGTGTGTTCTTGCACGGGGCTTCATAAGAGTCTTTGCGATGCTGCAGAAGGCGGTTGTGCAAAGTTGCTCGGGGACTGTTTCCTTTGGGTTGTCCTGGACCTTTAGAAGCTCCATGCAGGGTTCTTCAACATGCTTCAGAAGCGGTTCAGTGGCAAAACCTCCTGGGTGCCCAGCTGCGCTTCCATGAGCTGCTCGTGAGGCGCAGAAACCGCAGACATGTAGGCCTCCGGGCTGTAGTCCGAGGTCTCCTTCCCAGCTGAAAGGGCAGGCGTACATTGGCCCATGTTCACCCATTTCCCCCTGGCTCCTCGACTTCCCAGACCGTCGCACAGCGGAGGACCCCCACTCGCGCCAAGGCCCTCAGAATCACCTGGACCTGTGACCAAGCGATAGGAGAACTGCGAAAAGGCAACGCCTATTCAGACGTGTGTTGAATTTCCTCCATCGAATCGCATCCATGCACATATACAACAGCCCAATAAATTGGGGGAATCAGAGGTCTCTAAACAGCAGTTGCATCCCCAATGGGAACCAGATCAGAACCAGGAGCCTCTTCTCATCAGGGGCATCCTCCCCGAGCTTCTGCCAAGCCAGGACGACCCACCCAAGGACACCGGAAGAGCCGTTGGATCATTGGGGGAGACTGGCGTAACAGGACCCAGAGTCTGGGATCTAGGAAGGAACTCTGAAGGACTCGGAGATCCCCGAACAACGGACCGTGCAGCTGCGTGACGCTCATTCGTGTACACTCGTCGGGCGGAAGGAGTCTCCTGGCTAAACCAAAGCGACTTCAGCCTAGAATCTCCCAAGAGAGCAAAATCTCCCAAGAGAGCGCCATCTTCAAAGCTGAAGCAGCGAGCTCTTTGGATCGGGGCTTCATCGAGACGGGCCCAGGAAGAAGTCAAAAAGGAAGAGCTTGTGAGACGAGACTTTCGGAAAATGAAGGACCGTCAAAAAAAAATCCTGAAGCGCAAGGTCGGTGCTGTCAAGACACCGAAACCACCAAAGCAACGTTCGCAAAACCAGTATGCTGAAGGTGTTTTCATCCCTTTTTTTAATTCAGGTCTCTCTCCGAAGACATGCACCAGATTTCTGAAGTGCCAAGAAGAAAAAAGGCGCCCTTAGGATCCCCGATGATCCCCTCTCTCCTCGTGCTGTGGGCGTGCGCCAGCCGCGACAGCTCGGAGACCTCCTGCAGGTCGGCTTCGTGCTCGTGCGGCAGCGCTCCCTAATGGGCTCTCTTGCCTGGCGTTACCAAATTTTTTTGTATAAGAAGGATGGTTATAATTGTAATATTAATATTGAGGTTATGAAACTGTTGCATAAGAAGGAAGGATTGCTATAATCGTAATAAACGCTGAAAAAAAGACTCTGCATGAGTTCTCAAATGTCGTAGGGGGCTGCGCGCTGCTCTCCATGGGCTGCTCTGCCGGCTCTAGAGCTTCCTGTGAACCCCGGACCACGCGTGCCAGATTCGATGGTTGCTTCCGAAGATAGGGGACCCCAATATAGTACCCTAAATAGTAGGATCCTTATTAGAAGGACCCCAAAATACGGTACCCTAATTTTCTGAAACTCCCAGATGCCGCCACCTGAACCCCCACGAAGCTCGCCGTCTCGCGGAAGGTCCATCCCAGGGGCAGCGATGCAGCATTCCTAGGCGCAGCCCTGCACCCTTGCAAACTTGCTTCGCAAGAGAGAAGGGGTTTAGGGTTTAGGGTTTAGGGTGCTCCGGGGGGTGCAGGGGTTCCTGCAGCTCTTGCTTTCCGAGCCGCAGATATGCGAGCACTTGACGCGCACGCCTTGTCACCTGAGTCGAGTTCGGCCAGACGAACCCGATCCCAAGGGTGGTCGTAGGAATGTAAACAATTTCCGATCCCTAAACCCTAAACCCTAAACCCTAAACCCTAACCCTAAACCCTAAACCGGTTCCAGGGACCGGCAAGTGCGCCGCAAGCTCTGGCTGCCCCGCTGCCAAGGCTTCGGCCACCGCTTCTTCCTGGCTTGGAGTGCTCTGCGTGCCATGCAGGCTTTACTTAAAGGATCATGGGACTGAGTAAGTAGGGTTATTATTAGGGTAACTACACTTGTAACCCCAATTCAAGGACTTATAACCTTACTTACTAAGTCCCATGATCCTCCAAGTAGGCTTTCGGGCTATCAGGTTTTGGGGCCCATTACTATAATTATGATAAGGAAGCCTAAGGATTAATATAGGTAAAAAGAATTAGGGTCTCTATTATGGCTTTGCAACTTTGATTTAACCTTTGATTCTTAAAAGAATCCGCAGCGCCTTGGCCACCTTCCCGACTCCATGCGGACCGCTGAAACAATGAAGGAAACCCGGAGAGCCCAGGGTTTAGGGTGTAGAGGGTTTAGGATTCTTCTGGGGTTTAGGGCTTAGGGTTTAGGGTTTAGGGTTTAGGGTTTAGGCCCAATGCAGGTAGCACCTGACTCGGGGATGCTCCCCAAATCCTGACGAGGAAGAGACCCTTAAAAATTTTGCCCATCCGAATTCCTCAATGAATCAAGGGGTGTCTCTTTGGTCTGGGAATCCTCGACGCGCGTAATTTTCTGAATTAGGATCCCTTTTGGGGTCCTTTTTATAAGGGTGCCGTACTATAATGGGGACCCCAAAAAAGGGACCCTAATTTAGAGAACTACCCAAATCCTTACCCCCTAAACCCCCTAAACCCTAAACCCTCAATCCTAAACCCTAAACCCTAAACCCGAAACCTTAGTTACTAAGTCCCGTGATCCTTGAAGTGTACATTTCCTCTCTCTCTCTCGCTCTCTCCGTGGCCTCCGGCTCTTCAGGCTCTCCCAGGGCTGGATCCCTCTCCAGAAAGTCCGTGTCGTAGTCGCCCTCTTGCCTTAGGGGGCTCGGCCCTCAGCGCCTTAAGGCCTAAGGCTTGCTGTAAAAGGCTCCTTTTCGGGTTCCTGTAAGGTTTAAAAGCTTAAGGTTTAGGGCTTTAGGGTTGCGGGGCTTTAGGACTTACGGGCTTCGGGGTGCTTTCCGTCCCAGCGTTGGCTTCGACGGTTCCCACCGGCTTATTGTAAGGCTCCATGTCTCCTTTGTTTTGGACGTCCTTAGTAGGGACCACAGGGCCAGACCGACCCATGGCTAAAAGCACCATAAGCCTTTCTATCCGAAGATATAGAGCTCCATATAGGGTGTCTTTTATCACAGATGCAGACGCAAGCTCGAGCCCCACAATACTATCATATACTGTGTATGTATGTATGCATGTATGCGCGTATGCATGCATGCCTGTATGTACGTATGTACGCACGTACGTCGGTACAAACGTATGTCTGTGTGCATGCGTATCTGCGTATAAAATCTCTTTTGGATGAGCCTTCACCTTTCTTCAGGGCTCCCTTCGCTCCGTCAGGGAGCACGGCGTGCTTCCGGCGCCAGAGCGCGTCGAGGCTGTCGGGCTCGGGATCCGGCGGAGGCCTCAGCTCCAAAGGCCCCTTCTCAGCGGGAAGGGAGAGCCCACTTTTGGGGGGGTTGTGGGTGTTTTAGAGGAGGTTGTGAGGGTGTTGTGCGTTTCAGAAAAGACGAAAAACAGCGGACTCGCAACTTTGCAGAAAATTTGGGGGGGGAGACGTGAGTTGCCCCAGCTCCTCATGGAGTTTTCATCCCCGGAGACTCCCCGGATCAGTCAGTGACAGGATCTCACTGCGACAGATCGCGTCTTTCCACGCAGAAGATTCTGGGGGGTGGGGGGGGGGGGGGGTGGGGGGGGGGGGGGGTGGGGGGGGGGGGGGGGGGGGGGTGGGGGGGGGGGGGGGTGGGGGGG